CGGGCTCTGGCCACTCAGGCATGGCCGGCTCTGCTTCCCTCCCTCCGTCCGGATCGACTGCTTGCCTGCCCGCCTGCCTTCCTCCCCGGCCAGCTCCTTCCTGGCCCAACTGAAGTACACCCGGCATATAAGACAACCCCCCCCACTTGGAGGCATGTTTTGGGGCCAAAACAGTCGTCTTATACGCCGGCAAATATGGTGTGCAAATGCATATGGCTATACAAGTCCACTAATTTATTTATTTCCAGAAAATTATGGAAGAATAAAAATAGTTAACAAACATAGAAAGCACATCTTCATCCTCTTCCTCTCCTTTCTATTTCATTCTTGTGTGCCCTTCTTTTAAAAAGTTTCAAACCTTAATGTTTGGATTCAGCTTTTTAAATTGATTTTAATCACTTTGGGAGAAAACATTTGTCTGAAAAATAAGTTTGGAAACACTGCAAGTGTACAAAACCTGATAAAATACTTTTTCTAGCAGCTCTTCTGACTCACTTAAATGTTATTTTTCCTTTCTTGCTTCTCACTGTTAACTTCTTGTGATAATTAGATGCTTCATGTTAGCAGTAATTGATATGTAATCCTATATCAAAGACTGAATTTTTAAACCATTTCAGAGGGGACCTGTTTTATGTCTCAAAAACATTGGGCTTGATCCAGATTGTATTTGCACTTGTGTCTTGTTAAAATAGGAAAATTATTGTTAACTTTCCATATAGATTTCAGTGCAACAGGAGTATGAATAATGTGATCTGGAACAACACATTTTTAATACAAATTGCGGATTTTTTACTAATTGTGCAAATCAAGTGATGGATTAGAAAGGGCTTATTCACCGCTTTCCCATTCCAGACAAAAGCATCCATTCCATTTAACATTCAGTATATAGAAGATGAACCCTGAAAGTATAAATACAAACTGCTTACTTACTAGAGAACATTTGCCCATCTAAATGTAGCTGAACTTAACTTTTGAGTGAACATATAGAGCAGTAGCCATCAGGCTGTGGCTTGGGAGTCATATTATGCCTCTTCAAGAATTCAACTGCAACTTATTAGAAGTTTCCCCATATATTTTGGTGCTCACCTACTTCTGCATGAGGTGCCACTTGAGTTGGAGCAGCCATGGAGGGCAGAGAAGTACATCAGGCAATGCGAGAGAGAAGGGAAGGAACGAAGGAGGCATGAGGCACAGGAGAGGTGGATGGGATAAGAGAGATTTCCTCATTGGCAGGAGAGAGGGAAGGGTGAAGATGACTAAAGAAGCACAGAAGGCAAGAAGATGGAGGCCGTTGCCTAAGAGGTGCAGAAAGGAGGAGAGTGTAGGGCAACAAAGAGTGTGCAGAGCTATGGACAGCATGAAGGGAAAGAGGAACAGGGTCAGCCACTAAAAAGGGGTCAAACACAAACCTAGGGTAGAGAGAAAGGAGAGGAAGCTTTTAAACCCCAATAAAGGCTGAGAAGGGTCCAAACACCAGGTCTTTGGTTTCAAAACAGACTTCTATTTCAAATGAAATCAAGGGCTTTGATTATTTTACAGTCACAAAATGTGGGGTTTTTTTAAAAAAAATCTTAAGGAAAAGATGGTTATCATAAGACATACATGATTTTTTTCAGGAGGTGCACTGAAGAGCAGCCGGAGGTTCCAGTACTTTATAGAGATGTATTATCTCTTTTGCTCATCCAGATTTTAACCATGCCACAGCCATTGCGCAAAGGTACGTTGCACCAAGTGCGTAAACAATAAACAAGGGGCAATGAGCCCTTTCCTACATTAGCTTCTAAGAAATGCAGCAAATCAACCTTGTCCATTGTGTTTGCTTAGATAATGGCTTTGCTTTATCTCTAGAACTTGGCATTGAACAGAGTTTTTTTGTGGCGGTGTGACAGGCTTATCTATGGTTCCTGTCTTTTCACCTTTTTTAGACAACATTACAGTAAAACTACAAGATCTGAGAGCAGGTATTAAACGCCTTGAGTTGTGAGGCAGAGGGGAAGTTCCTCCATCTGACCTTCATTTGTTTGGTCCAGTGGGCCTGCTTAATACTTCACATTGAAGTGTAAATCCCTGTGGGTAAAAGTGAATAATTTATTTTAATTTAACCACAAAAATTGTGGCAATTGTGTCACAGATGACAAAGATAATTGCTATAATACAGTATCTGTAATGATATAAAATTGAACATGCTATTGGAATCCTGAGAGATTTTTGAAGCAGAAGTGATTTATTGCTACCTACTGTATCAGATTTAATGCTTTTAACGTTGTGATTTTAAAGCAATGCTAACCCAGTTCTTTTTTTTTCCTCACTTTCAGTGATAAGGGATATATTTTGATAAAGGGTTACTGTAGGCTTTATAGCATAACATTCCTCTTGGAACACTTTTATGACTTAAATTGATCTCCTGCTGCCTTGAATCATGTATTTTGACGTAATGCGTATTATATTAAAAGGTATAATCAGCTATGTAGGTAACCTTTTGTCCTATGGATGCATGAAAATTACAGTTTTTAAAGATGAAAGTTGGATGTTGGTTGGGAATCGGTTCAAGGGAAGGAGGTGCTTACTCTGGCAGTCAAAACAGCTCATGACTCCCCCTCCCTTCTTGAATGAAAAAGGCCTGGTGTTCAGAGCCCCATATGTTTTTTTACATTTAAACCAACTGAAGATGATCCAAAAGTTACTGTTCTTTTTCGTGGCCTCTGTGAATGCACACATATGGGTATTGTCTGCACCTGTGCTGACTCTCTCGGAAGATTCTAGAGCTAAAAGTAACAATTTTATGGTGTGATCCTCCACGAGATATATGCTCCTCCCACCCACCATCTTCCCCAGTTCCTTTTTTCCGCTGAGCTGAACAGGTCTTAGGAAAGATTGAGCACTTTGCTATTCTGCCTTTGGCTATTTTTCTAGGCTCCTTTGAGCTTTTGTTCGTTTATCTTTACTTTAAATTACCTACTTAGTGATCCTCCGTGTCTTTTGTTTGCCTAATCGGCTTCCCGTGGTCTTTTTATTCCCTTCCCTTTCCCCCTCCCCCCCAGTTCTTTGCTAATGGCCTCACCGTCTCCTTTTAAAAGGTGTATGACCTGTGCGAATAAAATCGCACTTTCAGATGGTCATAGCCAGTGCCTTTTTTGTTTGGGTGAGGAACATCCTACCCATTCGTGTCCTGCTTGTAAAGGTTTAACCAAGCCGGCACTAAAACAGAGGCTCCAAAGACTTCGGTCTTGCCTTTGGCAAACAGCCATGAATCCTCCTACCTCATCTTCAGAAGCGGCTAGATCTCCTGCCCTTTCCGCCGATAGATTTCCAGCGGGCCAGTCTACCTCTGACTCTACCTCTGTGCTACCAGTTAAGGACACTGTTGAGAAAGCAAAATTGTCTGGTAAGCACAAGTTGCCCTCCTCTCAGAAGTCTCGAGCACACGACCCCAGCTCGAAGAAAAAACCTAAACTTGCCCCTAAGAGGCCCAGAAAGGACAGAGTTCCCCAAGTGGAGCCCCCTCAGCCATCTCCTATCCTCGAGAAATCATCCAGAGAAGCCCCTGACTTGGCCTTGGATGGAGACGATGCCCATGATGTTGCCCCCCCCATGATGCCACCCCAAACTCCAAGCATTGGCCTCAATGCGGCTGCGCCACAGTCCAGCCCGGCCTCAGCCCATTCCAACCCTGACTCAGGGCGGGCAGCTGAAAGCTCGGCATCTGATCTGCAGGTTCCCCCCTCGCCTCCAAGGAAGAGATCGGAGAAATGAAAGCACCTCTCCCCACCGAGGTTGGTTCCATCACAAGGCGACTTATGCCCCTTTCCAATGGTACCATACCATTTTGATCCCTTCATATGGCAAACCTGGTACGAGAGGTTCCAGCCTGAGCAGGCTAAACGGCCCCGAACAACGCCGGAACTCCCCCATGCCGTTCCCTTTGTGGACTCAAATTGCCTCCGTGTGACCGCTTGGCCCTGACAGTTTCGGCTCCATCCGCACGTCCCCTCGTCCCATCCAAGCGAATGCGAGACAAGGTTCGGGAGGCCTTACCACTATGTCCTGCACCCTCGATGCAAGACCCGGTAACATCCCAGGGCCCTTTTGAAGACCTGCCAACCCAGGGGCATCAGGCTCCCCTGCATCTTCAGAGGCACAACACTCTGAGTCCTCCCATGAGCCTGACCTTCCCCCTCCAATCCCAGATACGAGGGACAGCCATGCTTCGTCTTCCTCGGATGACTTCTCCTCCTATTCGACTCTCATTTTTCAAATGGCACAAACCTTAAATCTCGACACTGAACAGCCCTGGTCCGCTGATGCCGACCCGGTGTTCGATGATATCAATCAGGAGCGTCCCGTTCCTCTGAAACTCCCCTTTAACAAGTCTGTCCTTCAACTTATTAAGGATACTTGGGGAAAACCTCCTTCTATCATGCAGATCTCTCGCCACACCGATGGCCTCTATAGGACCCATGGTGTCGAGGCCGAATTTCTCAATAAACATCCAGTGCCTAACTCTATCATCGTCGAGTCTAGTCAGGCTCGAACCCAGACTAAGTTCAAACCTACCCTTGACAATAAGGACGGCAGAAAAGTTGACACGATGGCGAAATGAATCTACTCTTTGCAAGCCTTCTTACAATATCAAAATCAAAGGTTCCAACCTCATAGACAGTATCGCCTCCAGCAAACCGACAGGTCCTTACCTGCTCCCCAGCCTCTGATGGCATCGTACCGGCCACAAACCTTGCCTCGTCAGCGTCAATCCTTTCGCAAAGGACAACGAAAGGGTAAGCAATATTGACAACTACCTATACCTCCCTTGTCTGACATTCCTCTCTATCCATTGAACTGTACCAGACTGGCCCCATTTTTCCATTGTTGGCAATCTATTACCTCAGACAAATGGGTTTTATCCATCATAGCATCTGGCTATGAAGACCTCTGCTGGCCTATCTCTTGCATCTCTTCGGTTTCGGCTTTTCCCAGTCTATGTTGAAGGTCTACCTTTCAGCCATTATGGCTCACCAGCTGGATGATTCTCTTTCCTCCAAGCTGTTTTCTCACCCAACTGTCAAGAATTTCCTTAAAGGGCTCAACAATATTCACCCTCCTCAACAACGTATCACCCCTCAGTGGTCACTGCAGCTCGTTCTTAACGCTTTGATGCGGCCTCCGTTCGAGCCCATGGCATCCATCGATCTCAAATTCCTGACCCTTAAATCGGCCTTCCTAGTTGCAATCACGTCAGCAAAACGAGCTAGTGAGCTCGCTGCTCTTCGAGCTGATCCCCCCTTTATCCAGTTTCACCCCGATAAAGTGACTCTTTACTTTGACGTTTCCTTTCTCCCGAAGGTGGTCTCCAATTTCCACCTCAACCAACCCATCATACTACCCTGCGTCTTCAAGTCTCCTTCATCGCCCCTAGAACATATGCTCCATAATCTCGATGTCAGACGTGCCCTGGCTTTCTACCTCGAAAGGACAAAAACCTTTAGAAAATCCAACAAACTTTTTCTTTGTTTTCACGGCCCAAATAAAGGGGTCCCAGCCTCCTCTCAATCCATAGCATGTTGGATTGTACAGACTATCTCCCTGGCTTACAGCCTGTCGGGGAAATCCCCTCCAGAACATTTGACAGCTCATTCCACCAGGGCGCTGTCCACCTCTACTGCCTTTCAAATGCCAAGATGCTGCATTTGGCAAAGCTGTCCTGTCCTTCTTACCGTGACGACCCACCAACCGTAAGTGCAGCTTGCTAGTCACCCATATGTGTGCATTCACAGAGGCCACGAAAAAGAAAAAGAGGTTACTTACCTGTAACCATAGTTCTTTGAGTGGTCCTCTGTGAATTCACACAACCCGCCCATCCTTCCCTCTATCCATCATGGGTTGATTATATAACGAATTAATTAATTCTTTCCTCCATACCCGGCGGATAAAATTCAGGAACTGGGGAAGATGGTGGGTGGGAGGAGCATATACCTCGTGGAGGATCACACCATAAAATTGTTACTTTTAGCTCTAGAATTTTCTAAGAGAGTCAGCGCAGGCGCAGACAATACCCATATGTGTGAATTCACAGAGGACCACTCAAAGAACTATGGTTACAGGTAAGTAACCTCTTTGTATCATGGCTACCACAATAAACACAGAATGTTGGAATTTAGAAGAGATGGCCATGTTACTCTGTGCTTGCATCTCAGGAAAACAAAAACAAAAAAACAAAGAAGATAAAAACTTTATGGCACCTTAAAGACTAACTGCTATATTTTAATGTGAGCTTCTATGCATATAAGCCTACTTCCTCGCACATAAGAGTTGGATGTCGGGAGAACCTCTGGACCAGATATGATGAGAGGAAGGTATGTTTTGTAATGAGACAGCCACACAGTCAGTCTTGAATTTCAAGACTCAGGTACTTATAATCTACCCTAAATCAACACATGCCTAGGGAAGGTACAGTCAGTAAAATTATCTTAAAATAATATCAAACATATCAGATGCTATAAAACAGTTATAAATACTTAAAAACAAATTTCCTTGGATCTTTTTAACTGGACTATCTCAGGATAATAAAGTGTTGTGAATAGCACAGTATGAAGCGTGAACAAAAGGAGGCAGTTGAATAGAACATCACTATTTCATGACACAGCAGTATTGGAAAATTAAGGGATTCAGTAAAACGCCTGTTTTGAACAATGCCTGCTGAGTTGACCACATATAGCAAGTAAAACTTTTACTGCTGCATTTTTGCAAAATTTTCTTTCATTGTTTCAGAGACTTTTTTTAGCAAACATTTTTTCACAGTCATTGTCTGTGGAAGTTCATAGAGTACCATGAAATAAACGAGGATAGCTCTTTGTCTGAAGAGGTTAGATCCCTGTTTCAACAGTGGAGGGAAAAGGTGAAGAAAAGGAGAACTTTTGTGTGGCTGTCATAGTGGTGTGGTGTGTTTGCATGCCTGTGCACATTCCTGCCACCATCCTTTCAGCACTGCAGTTTTTAAGAGGCCAGATAAAAAGACAGCTCTGCTTCTAGGCTTGTGAGAGTCAGGTTGCTGTTACCAGAATATTTTTATGCTTCATTTTTTTATGCTCAGCCCGGCAGGCTGTCATTTCGAATTAAATTCTTTTTGCTTTAAAGAATACCTGTTTAGTACTTCTTGAGAAAATTAATAATTCACAAGCAGTGTTCCTAATAGCATCTCCTGACCTTCAGTAAAGGCCCTGGGAATTGTATTCACTGTTATATTAACTGTTGAGTAGACTTGGTTACCTCTTTTCAACCCAACATTGATTAAGGCAATGTAAATGCTACTACATTGTTCATTCTCTTCTTTCTGAGAGGAAAATTGATCTGAATCCACCCCAAAAGGGAGAACACAAATTAAATCTGATTGTAGGGAAACCATCGTTCTCGAGGTCAGTGCACTTGTAGTCAGTTTATAAATAGGGGCCTGAAAGGGCAAGAGGTTACAAATGACCTCTCTGTGGCACACACTGCCTGTGTGGCCTAAGAGATGGTCACTGTGTTGAAGAGAGCCGATGTTTTTAAAGCATTAAGATAGGCAGAATAAATACAGGTTTAATGTGCAAAAGGGAAATTTTCACCACACATTCTATAGCTGCGCAGGGATTCTGGTTTTCTTCATTTGGATATTCATTGTGCACTGACCTGCAGAATCACAATGAAAGTGATGACAGGAAATATGTTTCAGTGAAAGAGACTGGTGTTCACAAGGCAAGCTTCTGTATGCTCAGCAGGGCCCTACTATTAATCTGCCCTGTTTTACTGCTGAAAGGACAGTTCATGCCATTTTAGCGTATGCCACCAGAATGTAACTTCAAAGAGGCAGAAAGTTGCTCTAGAGCATAGGGCAGACCTCATATAGATTCCATTGCCGCAGATCATGAAATAGGCTGCGAAGTTTAAAAGGATTCATGGAAGAGCTAAGATGACAAGAAATGATCTAGAAGGCAAGTTCTGTCTCTCTTAAATGGCTCACAGTCTACAACAGAAGTTGTCACTCTTTAAGGTGCCATAATTGTCTTGGCTGGTTTTTCTGCAGCAGACTGATGTGGCTGCCCCCTGGAAATTTCAGCAGCAAAGTTTATAACAAACAAAATACCTTGTCAATTATTCTCATGAGTAGCCACATGGGACAGTAAAACTGCCTTCCCAAATAAAAATGGCAGTTTTCTCTGGATTATGTTTTAGTGGCAGGCAGAACAGCATAAAGCAGTTGAGTTATACCTGAATGCTTGATTTCCAGGATAGAATTTTAAAACATACTAGTTCTCTGAGCTATTCTGATGTCATGTTTTCCCTTTCTTCCTTTGGTAAATAAAGATTTAATAAAATACTGTCAGATTAACTGCTTTCAGTCGACATTGCTTTTTCATTTCCTCCTTCCTTAATAGACTTTTACTGAAGTTCTAGCCTTCTAGCACATGACATTTAACTTGCCACATTTGCAGAAGCTGGCACATTGGCAGTTTCGGGTTACCTACCCGGAGAAGGAAATGTTTGTGAATTTAAAAAGTGTGCAGTTGGTTGATATAAATGTATTTCAGACCTAATTGAAAATGCCTGAATTGCCTTGTCTGTTTCTATCCTTTTATAGAACACTTTATCTGTATCATAAAAGTGCTCTTCACATTACTGTATGTGCAAGCTCTCGTCGCACTTTCTGTTAAATGCAGTGCTGAAGACAGAGTGACATGGATGAACTCAGGTGCTCTGAAAAAGGTTTGTTGTTTTATGAAAAACCTCAAGTAGACTGCGAGGATGCAGTTGGGTCTCTGTGACTTTGTTGGGGCCTGGAGGGTGTTACCCTGGGGGCGTTCATTGGAGAGCAAGTGCCATTGAATAAAGTGGTACTTCTATGGAAGTAACAGGATAGAATCAGGCTGTACGACCAATTTCACAATGGGGGGGGAGCCGTGAAAGGAGATAGGGATGTATATATCCTAACAAGATATACTACAGCTTATAGGAAGCATTTATATCTTCATCCTATTCAGTCCTTTCGTGCTTTGGGGCGTCCATCTTCAGTCCTTTCAGTAGAGAAGACAGGTGGCATAGTGCTGGAGTTTCTGGTATGATCTTCCTAATGATGGTCAGGCTGCAATATGTGTTGAGCTACTCTTGCTTAGTAAGAGCTGTACTCCACCTAGCCCTTTCAATTGCTCTTCTTGATCCCAGCCTAGGCTTGGATAAGCATATTCCTCCCCCAGCTGTTCTGACTCTGAGACACCTTGTAGGAAGTAGCCAAACAGTCTGATGAGGGGTGCTGAGCTTTCTGATCCCAAACAGAATTCTAAATTCCTCTTACCCTGGTGGTACGTATGAGGATTCGTGATGTACCCTCGACTTGATCCTTCTTTGATTGCCCGTATAGGTAGCAATTGGGCCAGATAACAGTTAGCCAGTGTTGGATAGCAGCTGGACCTGCAAAGACTGTGCCTCTCTAATGTTGTTCTGCCCAAAGAGGAGAGTTGCATCTGCCCTTTTGTCCCTCAGAGAGGAACTGGATAGCTCTGAAGGGCCATAAGATCAGAATATGTAGCTTTCAACATTCTACTGCCACAATGGCTGTTACCACATCATTACTTCAGGATTTATATTATAGATGCTGTCAAAATGTCATGGAATCTAAGTTTCATGGCCATCACTTCTGCTTTGCCTCCACAGTTTGTTTTTCTAAGTGGGATAGGAATCGATAGACAATTCTGTGGTTATAGTGTGGAGAGAGCGAAGTTGAAGTAGACGCCAGTCCTGTCACTTCCTGTTCTTTCACAGTCAGTTTGAAAAATGTAATCTGTTTTCTACTTTTGATGAGATTTTAAAAAGCAGAATAGGTCAAAAGCAGTCCAACTGCTTTTTATAGTAAATTGTATTATGACAAGAACATTTGGCCCACTTGTGAGCTGATTGCTTCGCATTAATATAAAGTAGTCTTGTGAGAACAGGATAAAAAGATGGTAAGGCACAGCTTTTCCTGTGTCCACAGTCATGGAAATGAAGGCCTAGGAGACCCCTCTGGGGCAAAACTGTGGGCAGCTGATGGGTGATTTGGAAAAAAACCCTAATCTGAAACACCCTCTTCCCCCCATGGTGTACCACATTAGCTACGCTATACTTTGGATCCTGGCCATAATATTCTCAGTAGCTCTTGCAATGACGTACAAACCATCTTTGCAGGGTTCTGGAGAACTGTGGCTTCACATTCACGAGCAAGCGTTCGGAGACATGCTGACCAAGTACTTGTGCCAACTGGAACAGCTTCAGTAACTAGAATTTACCAGCAAGAGGAAACTTAAGACAGAATCATGTCCCAACCCAATTCCTGGCTTGCTACTTCCTTGCTTTTTAGGAGAGGGTACTTTTTTAAATTAGATTAGCGAGGTGGGTACCCTGTTTCCCTGAAAATAAGACCTAACCTGAAAATAAGCCCTAGTATGATTTTTCGGGATGCTCGTAATGTAAGCCCTACTCCAAAAATAAGCCCCAGTGAAGTGAAACCCCGCCCTCCACCCTTGTGCAGCAACCAGAAGATGACATGACTTTATTTGAACTAATGTAGATGGATGTACATGAAAAAAATAAAACATCCCCTGAAAATAAGCCCTAATGTGTTTTTGGAGCAAAAATTAATATACTGTAAGATCCTGTCTTATTTTCAGGGAAACATGGTAGAGTTAGCAGCAGTTTAGTGCTGTCTGTTGTAACTTTTTTTGTATTCATAGTTAGCATTCCTGGAAACTGCTGGGTCAGACAACATAATGCTGTGTTTCTAGCAAAGCAATCACTGGCTAGAATCCTGTTGCTCAGCATAGCAAGTTGCAGCTAGGCCCATTGGATCATTGCAAGGTACAAAACTACCCAATCCCCACTGATTTAGTGGGCCTACTCTAGTTGTGATGTACTAAGCTAAGCAGCAGGATTTCAGCCACTGTGACTTTACTTATATTTATGCTGCATTTCTATAATATGTCAAAGGCTATATTGTCACAGCTCCTTTCTGAAAAGAGAGAGAGAGAATGCCCTTTAAAATGTTACACTGTGTTGCATGCGGTGACCCAGTTCGTATCAGTTTTAAATGTGTTTATCAGCAAGTTCTCTCTCAATGGATTTTGTGGTTGGAGTCCTTTTAAACTCTCACCATTTAGCCCAATATTAAACTTTTTTTAAAAAAAAGATTTTGATTCTGCCTTTTAAAAAAAAATTGATTCTGCACTTTTGAAGCAGATGATGGACTGTGTTTTATTCCCCCCCCCCAATATAACAGACTCTTTTGAGAAATGATTCCTAACTGCTTGGAATAGTGGGTGCCAGTGCTTCTGAAAATGCATGGGAAACGTCCCTCATGACTTCCTGTCGAGTTGCCTGGAAGAAAGATCACTGCCCCCATTTATAAATGGTGGCAACCATCTTTTTCCCATGCAGTGGTCTTGGTTGTCTCATCAGGACATGTCCAGAAGCATTGTGAACATCAGTTGAAGGTGCCACATTTGGCAGCTATTCTAAGAAGCTGTAAAGCACAGTAAACACTTATAACACAGCACTCAGGCCAACTTGTGTGATTTGGGAGGAGTGCAGATTTGGGAGCAGACCAGTTCAAATTTGCAGCAGTACAGTGGTGCCCGCGACGATAATCCATTCCGAAAAAATAGTTGCTATGTGGATTCGTTGCTATGTGGGGCAAAAAAGCCCATAGGAACGCATTAAAACACGTTTAATGCATTCCTATGGGCAATAACCTCACCGTAATGCAGAAATCCTCCATGCGGCCGCCATTTTCGCTGCCTGGTAAGCGAGGAAAGGGCGTGAAAACACAGCGGGCAGCCATTTTGGAACCGCCAATCAGCTGTTGGAAAAACATCGTTATGCGATAATCGGTAAGCGAAACAGCTTACCGATCATCGCAAAGCCATGTTTTCCTATTTAAAACATTGTTATGCGATCGCTTTTGCGATTGCAAAAACTCAATCGCTATGCGGATTCGTCGTTAAACGAATCACTCGTTAAGTGAGGCACCACTGTATTTGGTAGCTTTCTATAAAGAGGTTCTCTCTGGTATCCGAAAACCAGTATATTGCTCTATTCATTAAAGAGTTTCCATACTCAGTGCAGCACCAATTAAAACAAAGTTGAACTTGCAAAGGAGTTGCTTTTTGCTTCATTCGCTTCAGTATGCTATCTTTGACTTTTCTACATAATATTTTGGTCTAAAAGCCCATGTGTGCATTGCTTCCCTGATTGCAGGAGATTTCTAACCATGTCCAGATTATTACACTTGCCTCAGTGCAAAAGGGCTGCTTAGCACTGTCTCCCTTTAGGGCAGGGGCATTAAAAAAAAGGTGCTGGATTGGTGTCAATCATTTTCTTATTTTGCTGATTTGATGGTGAATTTCTTTTTAATCACAGAATATATCTGATGCAAAAAATACCTGGGAAGTATTATTGAGCCATGTAATCAGTGAACTCTCCAAAGGGAAGATCTATGAGCCAGAGGAAACGGAAGATCTAGCTATGGTACAGTTTTAATTATTTCAGTTTGTCAGCTTTGTGTTATTTGAATGCTAATTATATCTCACCAAAAGGTTTGCATTATTATTTATCAGTACAACTGTTAGATGGTATTACTGGTTCTGAAAAAGTAAAGTTGCACTAATTAAGACTCCTCCCCCCTTTTTTTTAAACACCTTAATGTAGGACAACACTAGTCCTTGGTGTCCAGATTCCATAGAGATTTATTTGCAGCAGTTCTGCCTGCCTTTCCTCAGGATTACCAGCCTTCTTCAGCATCATCTCTTTGGAGGGGAGCTACCTAGCTGTCAGGTATTACAAAAATACAATTCACTACCTCTGTCCTAATAATGTAAGGTACACGTTTCTTATCTCCAGTAGATGTATATACAAAACAAAAAACAAACCAACAAACCCCACAACCCTGCCGCAGCTATCTTAAAGACATTTCACTGAGATGCAAGGATTAGATTTCATAATGGGAAATATCGCAGTGGCATATCCTGTACAAACATTAATACCAAACATGAATTTGTACATTCACACTAACAGCATTGTGCTTGTGAAGAAGCATCATACTGGAGCATTGCCTTTTACTTTGAATTTTCTTCCTTTTGTATTTAACAGGAAGATGAAGAGTTTACTGTTCTTGCCAACTGCCTGGGTTTGTTACCATCGTCCTTTCAGTCATCACAGTTCCCCAGTGCCTCTTGTCTGGATTGGCCTGTGCCAGTCTTTGACATAGTATCCCAGTGGTGCTCAGAATTGGTTTCCTTTTCAGATAAGCATCCCTCACAAGTAAAGGTAGGGAAAACATTTTTATACGTCGTAATAGTGTTACTTGAATCAGTGGGTTATGTAGCTCCATTGGCCTTTGTTTGTGCTTTTAGTCTAACTCCATTTTTTAAAAAATGCTTGATTGCACAGTCTTATTTTTTGTTGTAACTATGTTGCCAAGTTATTAATTTCCAGACAATGATCATACTAGATTTTTCTTAAGGAAAAACTTTTGTTTGAAAAAAAATGTTGCTTAACTCTGGATTACATCCTGTAACTAAATCAAAAGAGAATGACTAGCCATAAAGATTTTTAGGAAAGAAAAATAAGTGCCATAAATGCATCTGTGACTAATAAAATATGTGATTTCAAGGAGCTGATAGTGTGTAAAAATGATAACACTGAAACCATAATCTCTCTGGTTGCAGTTCTCAAAATTTCTCTTTTTCTTTGCCTGCTGTATCCTGCCTGGGCAGCACTGGAAAACTAAGACTAGCAAGAAGGCTATTATCTTTAATCCCTTTGTTACTTACAGCCTCAGATTAATCCCTCCAAATTACATAACTAAGAAATCAACCATATCAGCCAATTGCGAAACATCATTTTTAACTGAAATTTGTGTGCTGGGGCTCAGGCCCAGTTCTGTCCTAGAAGGGGAGTCATTTATGCAGGAACATTCACATTTAATGGCACTGATCTGATGCCCTGTTGCCACCATCTGTGTCTCCAGTTGTTTTAAACAGTAGACTTTATGACAGTGATGTTTAGACTTTCTTCCCTCCTGAAGGCCCGTTCTACATGTTTGTCACCCAAGGAGCCCTGCATGTGGGCTGTGAATTCCTCATGTTTTGCACAGGACTCTGGAGTGTGGCCTTAAAGCGTGGTCTTTATTCCCAGAAGGTACCAGGAAGGGCCTGTTGGGACTGTCTGTCACCTACTCAAAGGGAAACGTAAGGAGAGAATGTACCCAGCAGGTGCCGCCTGTCCTGCTCTCACCGCAGGGCCCGTCACCTGACAGTTGGGAGGAAGCAAGACATGTGACTGGCTCCAGGTTAGGCCAGATTGATCCAAAGGGATGGGTGGACATGTCTGATCCCACACTACCAGTAAAACGATAGCAGGCTGTGAACAGTGTCCATTTTTTTTTTGGGCATAGACTAGGCTACACTCTTCTCTTCATGGCCTTTGTTCACTTTTCTGAGGAAGAATAGCTAAAGGAGGCAAGCTTAACTTCATAATGAGACTGCCTGGACCCATGACATAGTCAAAGCATATGAACCTGTGAGAATGTGTACTTAACAACCAAACAGAACATGCAGCGGCCTGTAAATGCCTTCATTGGGTCTCTCTTCCTCTTCCTCTCTTACCCATTCTCTTTCCTTTTTCTTCAGATTTTACTTATCCAGGAACCTAAGTGGGACCTACCCTGTCTCCTCCATTTGCCTGAAAATTATAACACTATTTTCCAGTACTACCACAGAAAGAGTTGCTCTGTCTGTTCCAAGGTTCCTAAAGATCCTGCCGTTTGTCTCGTTTGTGGCACTTTTGTGTGTTTGAAAGGACTTTGCTGCAAGCAACAGAGCTACTGTGAATGTGTCCTGGTAAGAGAGGATGAGTGACACCCGCCGGTTGCCAAACGGCGGTGCCTGGCTAAGGGAGGTGCATGTGTTCAGTGAAGATTAGTTTGATGACAGGCTGGATCTGTAAGATTGCTTATAACTTTGGGGTCATAGATGCTGAGGTAGAAATGGGTGACTGTGGCCCCCTAGATGATGTTCTGCTTTAGCTTCCATCAGGCCTGATCAGCACAGGCAGTGGTGAGGGATTTTGAGAATTACTGTCTGGAGGACAACAGTTGCCCCCTTTGTGTCTGAAAATGATAATTTGTATCGCTTGAAGTACAGAAAAGGCAAATACAAAATTGTTTAATTCTAAAAGTATATAATCAGAAGCTTGGATCACAATGGCTTTTTCATTTGTTGCCGAACCTTTCTCAAGGACGTCTTTTCTTTTTCTTTCCTCTCATTTGAAATAAAACTATAGCACTCCCAAAACTGTGGTGCTGGAACAGGCATCTTCCTTTTGATCAACGCATCGGTAATCATCATAATTCGTGGTCATCGTTTTTGCCTTTGGGGCTCCGTTTACCTGGATGCACATGGTGAAGAAGACCGAGATCTCAGGTAACCAGCCATCCTTACCGCGGTTTAATTTGCTTTGTCCCTATACGTAGCCAAACTCCATGTTCCACCAGAACTTTCTGTGCAGTTGTTCTGTCCTGGTAAATAGGTGGAAAGCATTGGCTGTCTAGAGTGCTGCTTCGCTGTGAGAAACTCTAGTGATTCAAGGACGTTTGAGAGCATCTTCCCGAGATCAAAACTCACAAATTATTCTTCTGCCCAAAGAGAGCATATACACAGAATCTAAGTCAAGGTTGGGAAAATCTATGTCCCACTGTATGTTGCTAAACTGTAACTTCCTTCGTACTCAGCTGTTGGCCGTGATGTAATGGCAGATGGGAGTTCAGAGCATCATAAGTTCCCAGCCTCTGACTTAAAGTATTCATCATGTCAAGCAAACGGTAGGAGTCAGCCAAGCAGTCCTTTGGAGTAACAGTGTGACAAGGCCCTATATGGTCTTCCTGGTCCTTTTAAGGTATCCTTTTGGTGCTGCAGGGAATGCTTAGTGTTGTCCCCAAGTCCAGATGCTTACAATAGCAAGGTTTTCTTGGGCCAGCTGTCCCTGGCATTCGTTTGTTCATTCATTTATTATATTTTTACCTCCACCTTTCTCCTTAAAAGGACCCAGGGCAGCTGACAACAATTAAAATACATTATTTTAAAGCTAGAAAACAGTGAGTGCACAAATATCGAAAAAAATAAATCAAGTGTTGTATTTTAAATGGTCAATAAAATCAGTACTAAAAATACATTTAAAAGCAACATAGCACAACAATCCATTAAAAAAAACCCAAACCTCTGAGGCTAACAGTCAGTGAAGGAAAGCTTGCCTGAACAGAAAGGTCTTTGCCTGCTTGCGGAAGGACAGCAAAGAGGAGCCCAGCCTAGCTTCCCGTGGGAGGGAGTTCCAGAGTCTGGGAGCAGCCACAGAGAAGGCCTCTCCTGTGTCTTACTATGAATGTCTGTTGACTTTTCCTTTCTTGTAGGCGTGGCAAACCTCTCTACATATGTAAGGAAAGATACAAAGTGCTCGAACAACAGTGGGTGTCGCATACCTTTGATCACATCAACAAAAGATGGGGGCCACATTATAATGGTTTATAGAGCGATAGCCATCTTTTGCGCCATCACATCGCCTTTACCATGAACGCAACTTGAGTGGCTTCGGCTTGAAGTGAGTGGAAACTTTCTCTTCACTGGGGAAACCGTGAAGCCCTGCCATCGTACGAAGCCCTGTGTTAATAGAGGTTTAGCAGTTAAAAACAACAAAGGAATTAGTCTTCGTTTGAGTGCAAAACCTAAATTCACTTGATAGTTGTTGCTTTCTAACCCACTAATAAACAAGCACAAATTGTACTTAAAAGGAAAACCGCCGCTAAGTGGCTCCTGAGTGTTTTTATTTTTCCCTGCCGGGGGCTGTTTATGCTGAAGCACTGTATATGTGTAGTACACCCGCTATAAACACATTGCTTGTTTCCGTTGCCTTTCTTTGCGTTCCGTTTCAGATTTTGCTTGACATGTATCTGTAAGTATACAAGAGTTGTAACACTTTTGATTTGTGAGATTGTATAGAAAAATGGTCTAAAGGATTTTTTAGAGAATATTGCGCTTATTGCCAGAGAGCTATTGAAATAGTTTCAGACATTGCTGAATACCTTATTCATTCTCAGGAATTTCATAGATATACTCCAGAGATTAGTGAGATAGCTGTATAATAGATAGCTTGCTGCTCTTACTGTAATACAAGACACACACAGTATTCTGTCGGACATTTCAGTTAGCTTTATTTACAAGTAAATTACTAACATGCCGATTTTTATTGTCTGTGTAGATGCAACATTTGTAAAATGTCCCAAGGGGTACATCATAACTCTCCCCCCCCCAAGCATGCCATGGGCTCATTTCCACCTCCCTGTCTTATTCCAGAGCGATGGGGGTGGACATCACTGCCAGATACTCTGTGGATGAGGCTTAGTTAGTGAATGTCTGGGAGTTCAAGCAGCTTCTTTCCATTATATTTACAAATCACTGCCCTTTTTGCTTGAATCCTTTATCAGGGGAATAGGGCTGTTGGAGAGGAGCAAAACTGCAAAGTGCCAGGGGCAGGGGAATAATCCCCTTCTCCCAGTTTGCATCTCATATGGAGAATCCCGCATGAACAGCCTTCCTCCAGTTGACATGGAGAAGCCAAGGCTTGGACCCACAGAGCCAGTTTTTAATAGATGAAATTCTACTGACTGCTTGCTTGTCAGGAGAAGGAGAAGGGAGGCGTGGCCAGACCTCCTTTCCACCTTTTTCAAACAGCAGACCTCCCACACGTAGAATCGCAAATGATACTGCTGGATCATTAAGGCAAACTGCCTGTTCCACTTCTAGTTGCACCGCTTGGTCCCTGCAGTTTAGGGGGAAAAAATGTGTGGGGCCCTGTGGTTGTGGGCCTGAGCAGCTTCAAGGGTTTATAAGGGTTTTGAAATCCAGCTGAAAGGTTGCCACTGGAAAAACACTTAACCAGGCAGAATACACGATAATGTCACACCCAGCCCATGGCTGCCAAAGATTCCCCCCATTCCTTTTCACAGAATGACCCGACGTCTGTTGATTATTTCAAACAGTGCTATCCAGCACTTCTGATATTTACGTACTTCAACTTGTAGCTTTTTCTTGTAAAGCAAACTTTTTATCTGTAAATTAATTTGAAGAGTTATAATCTTAAAACTAGGCGAAACACTGCTCTCTGTTCAGAGGCTTGATAGGAAATTGGCTGTGGAAAAATGAATAGGAAAAAATATGATGGAAATGGGAAGATTTATGTGGTAAGTCTCGTAGCCTACTAAGTTTTTACAAAAAGAGAAGGCAAAATGGAAATGGGTTGCTGTTTTTATATAAAATGGTGTGTGAATACACCTACATACACTTCTAGATTATTCCCATAATCCTGCAGTTCCTTCAAACAAATAAAAAAATGCTTTTTTCCAGAACATTGCTACATTTTTAATATGTATCATATGTGAAACCTATAATATTTTTGCATTGCTCACTTTTGAGTACTAGGCCATTTTGTAAGCACAGTGGACAAGCAGAAATATTCCTGACATCTCCTGACATAGCACTATGACAGGGCTCTTCAGTTTGACTGCTCTGTGTGGTTCAAAATTTCAAAAGAGATAATGTCTATAAAAACTGAATAAAATGTGTTATTTAAAATGGAATTCTTTTTGGATATTGTACATGGGTGTGACATAAAATTATCAGCCTTAACTTTGTATTTCATGAAGTTCATTTTGGTACCAGTGAATTATCCGCTGGTCAATTTAAAATATAAAAATAAAAGGTACTCGTTTGAAAATCCTACTTGAAATATACCTGCATGCTGCTGGACTGTAAATTTGATTACTCCCGTAAGTTTTTGGAAATTTGCTTTAATAGGCTTACCTTGAAAAAATAACAGGCCCAAATTAGAATGGGCTCTCTGTGTGCGCGTGCATGCATGCGTGTGTGTGCATGCACATGTGTGTCTGTACATGCACACGTGTGCTGCTGCTGCTGCTATTTCTCCAAATGTACTGGTGTGGTAACTTTTATGAATGGCTACTTAAGTACAGTACATTACTGTAGAAACAGAATCAGTCTTTGGCACATCAAATACAAAATTAGAACTCCCATAATTATCAACATTGTAAAATATGTTAATAAAAGTCTACTGTCGTGATATGTGTCTTACGGACTGCTTTTGTTTTATTAAATTTAGATAGAAAGCGATTACAGCTTGAATACTTCATTGTAAATCTCCCGCCCACCCCCATTCTTGAGAACCCCACTGTGTTTCAGAAAAAAGCTTTGCAAACTAGCACTACGATCAAAGAATATTTCTTTTTGATGAACTATTTTTTGCTATTTTTTTCTAATTGATAAGATCATATTGCATGGACATACATTTGAAAATGATATTTCCCCCAGTAGCTGGAAGCAGATGGGCTTCCCAGCCCTCAACTAGCACCACATGTAGGATTCACCACTTCATTCTCGCCTTCTTCTGCTGGATATTTTTATATATATCACTGGTATACTGGTTTCTATTACAGTTGTTAACTTTCAGGCAGAATTTCCAACTAGAACAGAAGTTTTTAAATGTTAATTCTTTTTCAGTGGATATCACTGGGTTATCCCAAGTGTCTGTGGGTTCGTGAAGCACCACAATTCTGTTCAACCAGAAAACTACAAACCACTTTTTAAATCAGAAACTTAAGCTAGACAAAAATAAATAAATAAATAAATAAATACGGATCTGAGACTTAAGGGATCAAAATGTCAACTCATGTTCACCTCCTAGAAAACACTTACACCCTTACATAGGTCCCAGCCAATGCAAAAGTGGCCTTCTCAGCTGTACGAGAAAGAGATGAAATATGACTATTCCAGGCTATGGTAGTGATGGTGGTGAGGGTAGTTGTACCAAGGAGCATGCTTTTGTAATGTTGAGGAACATTCACATGGAGTGTGTTAAAAGCAAATGGTGTGGGTTCAATTTAGAGTTAATTGTGGCGTGAATCTCCAGACAACATTGGGTTGGAAGGTTTTTTTGGTCTCTTCACATTCACTTTAGACAAAAAGTCTTTTTAAAATTAGAATATATCTTCTACTTTATTTACAGCATTTATAGCTCTTCTGGTGACAAGAGAAAAAAATTAGGGCAGCTTACAAAATGCGGTTGAAATATCAATATTCTAAAAAATATACTTAGCTTAAACTAATAATAATAATAATTGTGTGCACAGCACTTATTCCCATCAAGACTATCAGCCATGCAAAGGAGTATTTTTTAATAATTTGTGTTCTTGAACAAGCCACAGAAAAGAGGACAAAACACATGCAGAATTCAGTGACTAAAATCAATGCTGGAAAATTCCTATTTGTAGCTGGAGGGGCAGGATGTGAGCACTAATTATATATTGCAAATGCCCTTTTTGCTGAGTGCTCCTTCGTCACCCTTTAGCTCCGCATATTGGTGAATCATCCAGTTTACTGCAGCCAGTGTGTGCGCGCACACATGATTTCTTTACTGCATGCAAAAATGGAACAAGCATGCTATAGTCATGAATACTAAAGAGTGGTTGTCATGACAACAATAAATGGAAGAGGACTGGCTCAATTTAGGTGATTTACCTTTGTAAGTCCTCTGGGCAACATAGCTAGCCTCGAACATGAAATAAGCCATTGGAATTGGTTGTATCAAGCAAGCAAGCGGGTCCTCTCTACCACCAGCATCACCACTGCTGCCACCATGTACGATTCCTTGATATCTGGGACCAGTTAAAAACATGATTCAAGAGTGTTCTAATGACAAAATTTGCTACTGGCTTAGTCCCTTTTCTCTCCCGGCCCACTTTGTTTTTGATGATTTCTAGCCGACTGAAGAGGGGTTAAATGTCATTGCTGTACTTGGCTATCCCTGCATTTCTTATGCTGACTGTTGTGTGGTAAAGGTGTTGCTGCTAGGGTAGAAAGGAAACATCCCCCATATATATAAAATGAAAATGATTCAGAGCTGATCATGATCTCAGGATGGCAAATATTGTGGCTTGAGAAGCGGAACCTGCTACTCAACAAAAAGCCTTAGACCTGATATGGTCGCTGTGGACCATCCTTGCATTCAAGATACTACCTTACGATCCTCAGTGAGCCCAAGAGGATGGAGATGCCAATACGGAGCCTTGGCCATGGTGGAAGCTCTGTTCTCTCCCAAGCCCAGCCCAGCAGTGGAAGAAGGGGAATCGGTGGGAAGGTCCTCTTGGCTGACGCCACCATTCTCCCCTTACTGTCCACCGTTGTTCTAAGGATCCATGCTTCAATGCTTTCATTATTGATCAGACTTAGTTGTGTTGTAGAGTTTTGACTTTCTTGTAACATTCATTTTGCTACACTGTAGAAGTACAGAGAACAGAGATCCACAAGTTCTCCAGAATACAGTATATACAGTATATTTTTACCACCACTCATTCAGATTTTGTTTGTGTGTATATACATACATGAACATTCATAAATGTATATGTATGTAGATACATATATGGGTAATTTGAAGAGTTAAATGGTTGGGGATTGTGATCTATTTAAAAGGTGAATTGTCATTCCAATTGACTATATCCACTGAGCTGAACCCTCATAATCTCACCACACCCCAAGCTGTTTGCAGCTCTCCATCATGGAACTTCAGTTTAATTAGCTTTAACATCTAGTCATGATCCCCACCCTCATGACTCTGGGCTTGCATGTTCCTCCCTCTTTATCCCATCCAATGTTCTGCAAAGGCCAAGATGATGAAGGACTGGAAAGGATAGGAAAGCTTGTCCTATTTTCACAGCCCAACAAAAGGTATCACCTATTTGTCTCCTTTTTATTTTGTACAGTACGAGGATGAAACAAGTGCTGCTTTTTTGAATGACAAAAATAGATCAATCTCTCTCTCTTCTGCTGTATGTGTCATACTGCACCTCTTAGCTTATGCTGCCCACTCAGTACTGAGTCTTCAATGATGTGACAGGCAGGATAAGTGCTTGATCACTAACCAGCAGGCTGCAACAACAAAAAGTAGAAATTGGTTACTGAAAAAGTTGATTCAGCTGCAAACATTGGCCACAACCCAAGAAGAGGAGCAGGGGGGGGGGAAGGGACGGATGAAAGCGGGGAGGAAACGAAGCTCTCACAAAGTCACCTCAAACAAGTTTCCTGTTTGGCTGAGAAAGATTGCCATGTCTCCCTTCATTGCGGCTGCTGCAGCCTAAGTTCCTGTACTGGATTTGTTTTCCAAAGGAATTTTTCTGAAAAATTAAATAGTTACTGAAATAATCAGATTCTAGGGAAGAAAGCCATTACGGAAATATTTGGTCATAAGGCAATGGACAGTGCCTCGGTGGTAAAGCCCTAGGTTTACCTGTGAAAGGAAGTTCAGGTGTGAAGAAGACTTCTATCCCAAATCCTGGAAGTCATTTCCAATTACTGTAGCTGGGGCTGCTGACGGCATCTTTGTCCTTGGCTAAACCACTCATGTGGGTCAGCCGGCAGGAGTGTTACGGACAATCGTTGAAGGCTCATGTGTTCCCTTTATTGCTGCAACAGATCATCCCTGAAAAGCTGTCAAGGTATCAGAAGCACATGGGTGGTAACAATGGCTGTTGCCCTCTGGAAGGGCTGAGAACTGGTTGTCTTCGGTCCCCTCACAAGTGCAAGGTCCCAGACTAGCCGTGTGAGTGACATGAGAAGAGAAAGCAGACAGGCCAGCACGCTAAGACCCACAAGTTTCTAATTTAAAAAGAGGACACTGCCTAGAGAACAGCCAGTGAAGCTTTAGGGATAAAGCACACTACCTCAGGAGAGCCCTAGAGCTGGTCAGGCTCATGGACTGGAAAGTTACTTCTAAAAACACAGAATGTGATGGCATGCCAAAGCGATTGCATAAGTGAGCAGCTATGGGTGGCTCCAGCATGTTGTTAATACCCACTCTCTTTCAGCAGTTAGCGGTGGGCTGCTCTGGTCCCTTCCTGTGCTGTGATCTTAAAAGCTGCTCCAGAGGGATTTCTCTTTGCCTCAGGGAGATGCGGTCCTGATGAGTCGCTTCAGAGCCGTGGAGGGTAATGCCAAATGTGGGCTGGTATAGCAGAAGGGGGTGGGGAGGCAAGGATGATTGACTCCTGCTGCCATCATATTCTACTGCCTGTCTGCCACACTTACCCAGAGAGTCTGGGATCTGAGGTGATGGAGAGAGCTGTCCCTCTGTCTCTGGCAAGAGAGCAGGGGGTGGGTGGGTCAGGATATCATTTGCCTTTATAGATTAGCCATCACTGGGGGCCTGAACAGCCCTACTAGGCAATGAGCATGTTTGCTGTTGAAACCATTGATGGGTATACACAGATGTCTTTCCAATTATAGAATGACTACACAGGACTGTAATGGTCAGTTATTGAAACATCAGCTGAAATCCTGTTGATTAGCATAGTAAGTTGCATTAGAGTAGACCCATTCAATCAATATGGGTTATGGAGAGTCAACTCCTCCTGTATGTCCCACTGATTTCATTACTTCTTTTAGTGTAGTGAGTTGTAACTAGTTTTAAGTCCATCAATGGAATTGATGGAGGAGCTGACTCACCAAGTCCCCACTGATCCAATGGGTCTACTCTAATATGACTTACTACATAAGCAACAGGATTCCCGCCATTATGGCAGAAGCAGTAGAGCACAGCAGAGACGGAGTTGGCCCACAGTGATATAATGAATGTTTACTGTCTGCCTACCTTCTGCAGACATTTTGTTTGGTTCAACACTTTCCACGTATTTATTTATTTGTCTGCCAAAAACCATCGACTGTGAGGATGCTGAAGTTCTCATTAATGACGTTAATCAGTTTTCAGGAGACAAATGGTTGCCAAATGGGTTCTAGACAGAGCAGCAACCAATTATGTCCATTTTGTTTTTATTTTGAGCGTCTTCCAAGATGGTAGATTGTAGAAGAAAAACTCATTACACAAAAACAATGAAGACCATTCCTACCAGGCAGAAGGCTAGCTCCTAGCGAGGGACCCTGGACATAGTGCCAAATGGGAACAGAAAACTGAATTAAAGAGGAGAGGGTGGATGACAATCACATGTAAACCACATGCGGAGAAAGCTTGTCTCCTGCTGCCAGGGGTGACACACAATGTAGAAACACTAGATC